ATTGATCTTCGAGTTTGACTGACTGTGAGTCAAATTCGAAGATTCTTTGATTTACTCACCTGTATATGACGCCACCGATTGGGGCAATCGAAATGAATCAAGTCAATTCAAAATAGACTTTAAAGGTGTTTTTAAAATGTCCTTTATTCATAGTTCTCTAGATAGTGCTTATAGTCTGTTGACTGAATTTCTGTAAACATTCGGTTCACTCACAGGTGCGCAATCTGTTCGGCTACTTCAATGTGCCCATCGGCTTGTTTTGTGCCGTGTTGGTGAATCGATTCCTGTTCGCAGAGCTCAATGCCTACACGGTGCAGATGCCACTTACTGAATCCTTAGGTGTGTCCCATCTAATTGCTCCGCCGTTGGAACTCTGGTCCGCCGTCCGGGAACCGACGAGCTCGGCTGTCTCATCTCTAGCCAGTCCAACTTATCATGGTCTGGCTGCCATGATGGCTGCTTGTCTTTTGCCAGCAATCGCGACAGACACAATGTTGTCCGGGTAAATGATTTCGTTTTCTCAAGAAAAACGTGTTAGTGCACATGAAATTTGTAAAGAAATTACACATCCTTGATAAAAGTATATGAATGATCCAAAGGAAAGTTAATCTAGAAACTTTATCTGACGTGCCCCGACAGCCACTAAACCTATCGTGTTATTCCATGGCACAGGGACCGATTCATTCAGAACACTGTTTATTACAAAATATTTCGTAAAAGACACTCAAATTGTGACGCTTGGGTTAGGTATCATCTTGAGAACCTAGATTTCATCGAATCATAAACCAACAAGTTATATATATATATATATAATCAGATTCCCTGTGATTATCACAAGAAATGTGAATATTTTTAAATATTAATTGCTAAACAAGAATGTGGTGAAATCACTTTCAGAAAAAAATTAAAAAAGATGTTTACCAATGCCGAATACAAATGTAATGGGAAAGTAATAGAGGCAGACTGAAAGGTTGATATGGTGAGTGAAGTCGCTTACTTGTGGTACACGAAGCGTTGGGAAAGTCGTCTGGATTGATTTGTCGTCGTAGTTCAGACCTGAGCCACGGTATTGGATGTTCTTGCCAAACATGATACGTTTTTTGTTACGCATTCAAAAACAGCGCATAATACGAAGGACTGCAGGATACTGCCCGCTGTTTCAACCTACTGGCTGACGTTCATTTTATAAAGATGACAGGTTTTTTTGCCAGTTTTACAAGGCTACGGCACTTCACCTGATAATTTTCTTCATTCAATTGTTTGTGGAATTTCCACAGCTTTCCTGCTCCTCCCTTTCTCTTCTGATTAGGCGAGTGGCTGATTACATTCTCGGTTCATCAATGAGACGGATAAGATTCCCATAACAGAATCAGTTTATCCACACGTCCATAAACTGGTGCCCATTACAGATTTCAGAGCTTTCTTTCTGGACTCCGTTGTGCAACAAAATTGATCTGTTTCCGAAGTGGTTGCTTGTTTATTTTTCACTACTTAACAACTAAACTACTCGAGTTGGTCGAAAGTTGATTCCATATGCTGCCTATAGATGAAACGATTTACAAAGGTATTGTGTACGAACGGACTTACAGGATCCGATGAGTGGGATTACCGAGTTTATCATGGATCGTAATCATGGGACTTGTTAGGAACTTTTCACCTGCGTATTGTTTGCTTAGGAACAAGCGCCTTTTAACCATTTTTTCTTTGGATTCCGAAGTCGATTCACAGGTGAATTACGAAGTATGGATTCCGGAGAAACTTTCTTAAGCCCCCATACCACATCGTTTATTACATTTTTGATTGAAGCATGCTTACTTTTAGGTGATATTCTAATCCAGATTAAAGTGCATCGTACTCTCTCGCTCTGTATTTTCTCCTAAGATAAAAAATTAAAACCCCGTTAGATAAATGCAAATATTTCGGGGATAGAAACCTGAATTGGTGATATCTGATTGTTTCGTTGCTAACTCCTTTTAACCCAAACGTTCGAGGCAATACTTTATTCTAAACCTGTTGCAAAATTTGATGATGTATGAATCGTAGCCCCTTTATCTTCTTTTAATCCTGCTGCCTCCGGTTCAGGATCACAGTAGCCAAATCGGAGCGCCGACTACGGAAACCATGTCTTTTCAGTCTCGATTTGTTTGTCGCTGCTTGTATCATGCCCTTGGTCTCTGGGTTGCTTGGTTGGCCATTTCTATCCCCGGCCACGGTCCGATCGAACACCCACGTGATTGCACTGACCAAGTGGAATACAAAAACACCACCTGGTGTACCGCATCGGTGAGTAGTACGTCGGTAATTCACTTTTCACATCTCTGCAGGCCTAACGGTGACCATATATATCGTGTCAATATGACCTATAATTAGAGGAAAATGGGTAACTTTGTAATCCAAGTCATATGTCACGGTTTCTGTTCTGTGTAGACACCGATGTCAACAGCTTACTTCATTATTGACGTAGATGAACGATGTTTATTTTAATTCACCGGGTGCTCACATATTGCATTGCCTTTGCTCATAGAAGCTTCTGATTTTAACTATCGATGCATCAAATTGCCGGAAACAATCACAGCCTATCTTTTGTCTACGGGCTTCCGTTAAATCAGAATGATAGTGGTGGTGTATATCACAGTATCACTCATCAAGGCACATAAGATCAACACAAGGTACAAAACCGACGGTGGACACATAACACGTCGAGCACATGGTCACACAAAACCCAAGTGAGATAGCAATGATGGTCAGGAATACAAATTGGACACCCACCCCCTCCCAAACGGCGTGCAAGATATCACACCAAAGGAGAACAAGCACATAGCTAAGAGGTAGATCCGAGTACAGCGGAGCGAGTACGTTGGTGGCCACCATAATCGTCTAGCCCCAAATCAAGATCACAGCATATTATGGCACACCACCATCACTGTTCACCTTCTCGCAGCTACGAAAGTGAGAACACAGTCGGCAGGCAACAAAACTTGTACCTGACTAGGAGGACCAGTCGAATTTATAGCTTCAACTTACCTGTTGTTTCGGCCCCCGGACATATATGACTCGAAATTGATGTAAAATTGGCGGAATTGACAAAATTGACAAATCAGCTTCCAGAAAGTGAAGATGAACGAAAAGAACCAAAATGGCTCGAACAAAGATTTAGATTATAAAGCGAAATTAAAAATTTATCAAAAAATAGACTACTTTCGGTAAAACTAATATTTTCTCCAGAGAATAGGCTCAAAGCATACTTGTACAACTCATTTTGTGCAAAATAGGAGAGAGCAAGACGCGCAAACGAAAACAAGAGGAAATCAGCAAGCAACTGAACCTCCCAGCGCAAGGCCTGATCGGGGACAATGGTGTTGCTTATCGTGTTCCTAGAATAAATGCAGGCAAGTTAGGGAGAATGCCATTCCCATAATTGAGATTGTCTGCAGGTACGACTCTTAATTATTACGAAAATATCACTTGTGACAATATTTATGACAACCCAACCGAAGTTTTTCGGGTAATCTGTGGCTGACCGTGAAGACGTTCCCGTGGTGACCCAAGCGAAGGGCTTTTGATCAAGGTACCATTCTCTACGATCCTGTCAGACCAGAAGGAATAACAGACACGCACTCACTAATGGCCGGCCAAAACTAACCGAAGTAAGCCAAATGGCACATCGTTCGGTTGGGCATGAGCGGTCTATAGTCAAGCGTTTGTGTGACGTTTGATCAATACACGGTTGTCCACCATCCGGCCCCACGTCAGTCAGTATCTCTGGATTACTTCACATCATGAAACAGCAAATCCAGTTCTCCATTTCACAGCTCCCCATCGTGACAGTGCACTCTGTTGTTCAGAATCACGTTTATAAATCTTTGTTGTGCCTAATATCCTTCCGATACAATTATCGGTGTTTACGATGAATGTGCCGGTTTGTGAACTCCGGTTTTACATTAGGTTTCCTACTAAAATAAGAAATAAAATTCTCTATTGATGGTGCTGCTCTGAGGCCAACTCTCTTTTTTTCTTGTCTTTTTATTTCACTTCCTTTCATTGAATATGCAAAGATACAATTTTCAGAAAGGAGGAAGCGGTCATTCGAAGGGCTGCCATTCACCACATAACGGGGACAGTTAGGCAGTGATGATGGCGGGATTCGAACACACATCCTCGGGGTAACGATTTAGTGACATTACCACCGGACCACCACCGCCCTCTGTCTTCAGAGGCATTTTAAAATTGTTGTGATGGACTGAGATAGCTTTGGCGTGGTGACATTCGATTTCCTCTAGGGAGCGCTACGTGGAATCAAACTTTTTACCGTTGGTTTTTCATGTGGTGAATTTATAATTTTTCTGAGTATGCATACTGTGAACAGTGACTTGAACGTCATCCAATTCCCCCTTGACCGTTGCTAGTTCCGTTCGAAGAGGTCATCCCCGACAACCTCTTTCGTGGTCTTTAATCTCACTTGTGATTAGTTTGTCATCTAACCGCAACTGCGCTGTATCGTATTTCTCACACCCTTTTTCCCCGTCTCAGAATTATTGGCTGTGTGGAACAACGAGTCACTGGTTTCACAATCGGTCTGCTGGTTGCCTTGTCGGTAACACTCGAAGCTCGACTTTTTGCTTTGGTCCCCATGGGAGCTCTTTACGGAATGTTTTTGTACATGGGTATAATGGGTCTACGGGATCTTGTCCTGATTCGACGCCTGTGCGTGTTACTCAAACGACGCAAGCATTGGAAAGTAAGTATTTCTTTCAGATTGTTGCATTTTATCTTCTGTCCCGAAAAAGCGATTGATTACCGCATCAGTCTTTGATTTGTATAACATAATATAACGCAGGTCAGGAAAGATCTATAACTTTAACGAATTCAGAATTTGAATCTCTTAAAATAACTTTTTATCTTCGGTGTTTGAGGAATAGTTTCTTCGATGGTCAATTTTATGTGCATCGTGTTTTTTTCTTATTCCACAGGTGATTTTTCCCAGTTTGTGTTAAACAGCAGATGGGGCGAACCCTATGGTCACGAAGACTTGCTGTTCACTGGTGGAAACCGGCAACCTAAGCCTCAGGAATCGGAGTGGCGAACCACATAAGGCCTCGATATGTTAGCCCTAAATCATGTGTAAACTTCGAGTTGGTTCGTTTTTGTGCCAATCAAACATTCTGGTTTTATCTACAGTATCTTCCCGGTCCGGTAACTTGAAAAGCAGTTGAGGAATAAATAAAAACGAACACTTAAACAATAAAGTATTTAATCATTTTGCATACAATTAGCATAAAATCGTTTTTCCGTATGGTATTTCCGACAGGGTTGTTTGCTAATCGTGAACAATAATAATCTTGTCCATTGGTACTTCAGATCGAATCGGATTCGTCAGTGGACCTTCGTTTTTAATTAGCCAATCTAAATTTTATCGCTCGCTTGGTTGATTCTTTTGTGGCAAGTTAGTTACCGGAACGAAATTTCTCTAGTGAATTGGATAAAGTATATTGTGCAATGACAGTGAAGAAAAATGCGTTACTAATACTTTGGGCTGTCTGCCTTGCTATGGTTCCACACTGCACGTATATTCAATTAATTGGGCATTACTGCTCTTGTAAACCGCAGAGCACTTTCACGTTGTCTCACTTTTCCTTTGAGCTCAGATAAATCTTCCAAATTTATATCAAGCTACTCATGAGTAGCACAATGTCCGAAATTTCGCTAGTTGAAATTGAACGCTGTAGATGTTCCGCCAGTTCACTCTGTTAACAAACTCTCTCTTTCGGTGTTTGTGTTATGACGTATCACGTGTTTGCATATATTGGATAATAGTGCATTAAATCGATCGGTTGAATTCTGCTCAATCAATGAGACTGGCTAAGGCAACGAGGCAGATCAGGCGGGAGTCAAAAATCTACCCAAGAGGCAATTAAGAAATCACAGGCGAATGATGAACGGAAGGTCTAGCGGGTTTATGATCAGAATATCTGGGCTAAGCTTACGACTTAGAATAAAAAGATGTTACATACATAAGGATGACTCGTGACATATATCACATCACCTAACTAATACAAACTCACTGCACCCAGCGTATATAAATGTGTCCCCGCAAGAAATCGGGCCTATTTTGCGGAATTTATTTTATTAATTTAGAAAACAATCTTACTCCTCTCATGGAAACTTCTCTCGCCCACGTGGGTAGAAGACGACTTTTTCATGTCACCAAATAAGTTGCCACTGTATGCGATGTTTGTCAGGGTAGGTAATGAGTGGAACAAAACCGAGTGTGGTCAATCTAGGATCCGGCATGAGGGTGTGAAAACCCTGGTCAGGCGACTCGGTTATATAGGTCACCTTAGATTCTCTGGTTGGAGACCTCGGGATCATAGTAACCGGGGGTTAGAGACACTGCATGATATGACTGAGTGTCGTGAACAGTGGCATTCGTGCATCTCAATTTCTTTGCAACCTTAATGTACTAAAGTTCTCCATTTTCCCTTCGACCTTACTTTGGACTTTCTTATCTTTCTCCTACTGTTCATCCAAATGGGCAACCCGAAGACAGCAACCAAAACCGGTGCATTAAAAAGCATGGTTTTCAGGTGTACGAACTGAACGGAATTGAACTATACAAAAAGAAGCACTGTTGGGATTCAAAATTGCAGTTTTCTTTGAGTGGCAGGGAATAGGGTCATGTCTAATGGTCATTCTCTGTTACACTCAAACCTTTTGCTGACTGATTGATTTAATTGAGCGCCGTTTCTCTAGCCCCAGTTCGTGATAGACACAGACAGAGAGTAAGTACACTTCTTATGTGCAATAGCATGATGAATTGTTGTTATATGTTATATGAAGCAAAACTATAGAAGATTCAGTCAATCAATTAAACAATAACAGGTCAATGATCTGGGCCTGATTACCATTAGACTAGGTCGGTATGTTACTGGTTAATTCGATAATTATCCAATAATAGGACCTCTAACAATCAATCGTGTTATGCGCACGTTGTCTAAGTTAACTCATTACATTCAGTTACTCATTCCGACGTTCTATACTTGGTGCTCACACCTATAGGATAACTCTCAATGTCTTTTTTTCTTTGGATCACAAGTCTCATAACCTGGTAAACTATTCAGCAGTTCTACCATCACATTTTGGAATTATCAAAAACCTAAGATCGTTTCACCGAAACTTTCCGAGAACTCCGTAGTACATTATTAGTCTTCGCACGCACTGGTCTCTGTAACGGTTAGAGGTAGACAGTTCACCAAGTACTCATACTGCACATGGTTTTTATGCACCTCTTCACTAATCTGACTTATCGATTTTTCAACGTAAAATACTTAGTATCGATTGTTTTATATATGGAAAAACGTCATTTCATTGTTGCATTTTATTCTTCAATTTTTTTCCAGGATCGGGAATATCTGCGCCACTTACCACCCTCAGTGATGGCTGTGTTCGTAACCACTCAATTTATGTTCATCGGTTGGCTATTAGCTATGAACTGGGTCACGGAGTTCGCGCGTGTGGGAGCCACATCACTTGTTTTCCCGTTTATTCTGCTCATCTATGCGATCACACGAGAATGTCTCCTACCTCGTTTCACTCTGCTCCGTCCACATTTGGAACAAGTGAGTTTGAATGCGAATGCGAACCGATGAAACTGATCGGTTTGGCATCCTCATTGCCCGCGTCTTCCTCCAGTCCCTCAACGCTTTGCAGCAACTAACTCAGTACAGTCAACTAGCTGATATGAGCTTCTACAGGTTATTGAAACAATCGGACTTGCACAGTGGTGTTCAAGATGTGATAAATAAGCACAAAGATTGCCTAACATGTGTCCTAAATTTATCGCACTTGAGATCGACTGCTTCCCTTCGGACCTAACTGTGAACTGCACTGGGCTGTCTAACATGTTGTGCAGTTTATAATTTCACAGCACCTTAGGGCGTATCAGAAGCTTACCAGAATATTGATGGACCCATCTCACCCTCTGTACTCTCATCTTAGTAGACAACTTCCTCCCCTC